CAGGCCCTCGGCGGTGGGGCGGTCGCGGGGTGGCGCGTGCTCCGGAGACGAAGCTGGCTGGCTGCTGCTCGGTCTCCTCATCTTCCCCGCTGCGAGCCCAAGGCGATCGAAGTGTTCTTAATGCTGGAAGTGGCCCGGGCGCCCTCTCATTCTTGGCTTGAATGGCTAGGGTGTGTTTTTTTAAAAAGGGAGGGAGGAAATAAAAAGAACTCTGCGTAGCGACTTGAACGAGAACGTTTCCCAGCGTGAGGCAGGTGATGAATGTGTGTGGGACAGCAGCTTCGCCATTAAACCGAGCAGTCCCCAGGTTAGTCCTGACCATGCAAATAAAGCGGCCCATTGTCCACGTGCTTAAGGGCTTAGCTGTTCCAGCGGGGCAAGTTCTCCTGGATCAACTGACTTCTAGTTATAATTCGTGCTCGCATTGTAGCGGTTCCGTTGAATTGGTATGCACAGATAAGATCAAATAATTAATACTGTAACTTTCAGCAAGTTGTCTTGCCTCTTCCAAACTCACCTTTCCCTAGATACAGTAACATAGCAACATTTTTTTGTAGTATCAATATATCTGCATTTACATATACAAGCAGTCATGTACATAATTTTTTAACCATTTAGTTTGAGTTTAAGGTTAGAAAAAATTAGAAAGGGTAACTGTGCTGTTTGCTGCGTGTTTGCCAGGACAGTGCCAGACGTTCATAGATGTTTTATATCAGTTCGTTTTAAGGGTAACTTTTCGCCTAAGCATAGAATGTCCATAGTTTTACAACACGTGGGTTTAATTCGAATGCATTACCATATAGAATGTCTACACTAAATAATTGTTTCTTCTGTGAAAATCAGGGTGTTTGTTGGTCACATAAAGAAACTCAGCAAGTTAGTGTGACTTTAAAAGTTCATAGGATTGCAGTTAATCCCGTTGGGTATTAAACAGTTTACAAAGCCGCATGGTTCTTACTTATCCAAGTGCCCATTGCACAATATGGCCAGAAAATGAACAGGCTAGGGTGTGCATCAAGCAAAGGTACCGAGAGCCAGAGCGACCCTTACTCCAAGAGTCCTTTGTATTTCATAGTACAGTTCCTAACTTAGGGCAAAAGTGTGACAAGGTTATCTTTTCAACACCAAACTAAGAAAACAGTGAGCAGGCTGTTAGATTTTTGGAGTGTCTCTGTTTCTTTTTCTTTTTAGATAGGGTCTCACTATGTATCCCTGGCTGACCTGGATCTGTGTAGACCAGGATAGCCCTGGACTTGAGAGACCTGCTCACCTCTGCCTTCTGAGTGCTGGGATCAGAAGTGTGCACCACCGCACTCAGGCGTGTCAGGGTTTCACTGAGCATTTGAATATTAAGAATGTTAGATTTTCTGTATTGTAGGTGGTTGTAAAAATCGTATGTGCCCAGCTGGGCAGTGGTGGCTCATGCCTTTAATTCCAGCACTGGGGAGGCAGAGGTAGGCGTATCTCTGAATGGAAAAACATTTTATGTGCCTAACTTTTTAATTTGGGTTTAAGTATCTTAAAACACATATTCAGTATTTTGTCCAGTATAAGATTAGAATATGTTTATAAATTTTAATGACTCATGTAGCCATAACAGTTCTGAACTGACTTGTGAGGGTGACGGTAGAGCCTTGCAGCATGAGAGGAGACATGGCTGGGACAATTAGACCGAAGGAAGTGGTTGGAAGCTTGTGCTTGAGGGTAAATTAGCGTACTAGAACTTATCAGAAAATTCCATTAGTGTGTCATCAGGAAGAAATGGAAGTTGGAAAAGCTTTGTTAGTTGGTATTTACCAAAGGGTTCCTTTCTTGACTTGAGGACGGATGTCCTTGGGGGAGGGACGGAGGGAGGTATTGGGGGGGAGGAGAAGGATGCAAGTTGTCTTTGTAGTGAATTCTTTTCTGTGTGACTAATTCTTGCTACCACATAGGTGCCTCTTCAAGTACTTGAGATTTGGGGGCCGGTCATTGGTAGATGAAAGAAAGAAAAAGGGAAGAGATGGTAGTGATAAGGAATCCCCCAAACAGACAGCGGAATAGGCAAGGCCTTAGTAGGTTTTCCTATGGGCAAAATTTTAGCAATAGGAGCAAAATCTATCCCAGTAAGAGTGACAATGAAATTTGTAAATCTGTCATGTCATTTGTATAAAAAATTACAGAGACTGTTCCTTTAATATAATCTATACACAATGGATAGATTTATAATGTAATGCAATACATGAAAAATTACTGAATTATTCCCATCAGCCATTTCTGTGCGTCTGTCACCTGGTGAAGTTGTAGGATTGGCACAGTCTCCTTGGCTCCTGTCCATAAGTCATCCGAGATGTAACAGGAAGCCAGACCTGTCTCATTCATCACTTCAAAACTTGGCTCTCAGCGTAAAAATTTGCCTAGAATGCTTGGAGCCCTGGGTTCTGTTCCCGACATTGCCAAAACTCAGTGGAAAACTTGTCTCTGGTGTGGGTGCCCTTTAGCCCACAGACAATAAACCAGTTTCTGCTGTGAGTTAGTTGTTGGCTATCTCCAGGGCCCTGGACAGAGCCTGGCCAGGAAAAGCAATTGTGGAATAAACATTGCACCAGATAGATCTGTTTCCTTTTGTTTAGGTCCTTCTTGCCCTTATGTGTGGGGCTCCTCCAGCCTCACCTCTGTAATCGAATCCCACTCCTTTGTGTGTCTTTTACAGAGTGCCATTTGGGGCCTCATTCTTCCTTCCTTCCTTCCTTCCTTTCTTCCTTCCTTTTCTTTCTGTTTTGTTTTGTTTTTGTTGTTGTTGTTTTGAGACAGGGTTTCTCTGTGTAACAGTCCTGGCTGTCCTGGAACTTGTTTTGTAGACCAGGCTGGCCTTGACTTCACTGAGCTCTGCCTGTCTCTGCCTCTCAAGTGCTGGAATTAAAGGCGTGCACCACCACTGCCTGGCTGGTGTTTAATCTTAATGACCTCATGTTGCTACATTAGTGTTTCGTGCAGTTTTTTTCCCTCACTTCAAATGCAATATATTTTTTAAGGCCGTACCTATTTATATAGCACTATTTTAAGAATTGCCTTAGCATCTGGTATATCCATACAGAGTTGGCTTGTCTGGCTATTGAGTAAATACTAGTTATCATGGGAAAACATCAAATATATCGTGAACCATTGGTAACATATTAGTTGGGCAAACTTTGTGTACACGTGTAACATGAGGGGCCGGCTTGTTGGGGTTTCTGTCCCGCCCAGTACCCCACAGCCGGTAAGCCCAAAGAAAATCACATACAGGACTCCATAAGGTTATAAACTGATTGGCCCATTAGGTCAGGCTTCTTATTAGTCCTTGTAACTTATATTAATCCATTATCATTATCTATGTTAGCCATAATGGCTCAGTACCTTTTCCAGCGGGGGCAGCTTACATGTTGCCTCTTTGGTGGTCTGCACAGGAGTGGCGGAGGGAGTTTCCTGCTTCCCAGAATTCTCCTGTTCTCATTACATCACCTCTACTTCCAGTCTGGTTTTCTCGCCTATATTTCCTGCCTGGCCAATCAGCGTTTTATTAAAATACATGATTGACAGAATACAGATAAGTCTCCTGCACCAGTACACTTAGGAAACAATGTAAAAACTTAGTGCCAAAAAATAATGAAGAGTAATGTTTGTCCAGTGCTAAAAATGTACCAGCCAATGTCCCTGTCCCCTCTCATGTTCACTTATTTGTGTCTCAACAGCAGAAGGTAGTTATAATCTATTTTCCAAGGGAGAAAATGAATGCGCAGCAAAGCTTTCTTACCCAAGATTATGATGTGCAAATTAAATAGAATAGGTAGTCTGGCTCCCGGGTCAGCCAAGCTTCTCTCTCGAGTTGGTTTATTTCTGTCGGAACGGGGGAGGGGGGCGGTCAGTTTGCCAGTGCACAGAGGCCAAAGCAAGATGTCAGATGGCCTGCCTTGTTCCCTGGAGACAGGGTCTCTCCCTGAACCTGGAGCTGTGTTGGTGACTAGCAAGCCCCAGAGATCCCACACAACAGGGATTTTTATGTTGGTGCTAGGGACCAGAACTCATGCTTATGTAACACTGAGCCCATCTCCCCAGCCTAGGAGGTTTACTTTATAATTTGAACAATCTAAAAACAAAAGGCTATTTTTGCAGTTATAAAAGGTGCTCTTGAGGAGGGTCGGGGTAACTGGAGAAATGACTCCGCGATTAAAAGCACTTGCTGCTCCGGCGGAAGATCTGAATTTGGTTCTCGGCACCCATTTGGCAGCTTATACCCATCCATCATAAGTCCAGTTCCAGGAGAGCCAATCTCCTCTTCTGTCTGCCATGGCACCAGGCATGCATGTGGTGCACATCCACACATGCATGGAAACAATTACATATATTAAATAAATAAAATAGATGTTCCTCTATTAATTAACTAATAATTAATTTTGTGGTGCTAGTGATCAGAGCCTCGTGCATGCTAAAGGAGTGATCTGTCACTCTCCATCCAACCCTAAAGATGTTCTTCTAAAAGTTTCAACGATGGCTCAACAGGTAAAAAGGTGCTTGTCAGCAAACCTGCTGCCGTGAGTTCGATTCCTGGGGCTCTGTGAGTGGAAAGAGAGTACTAACTCCCAAAGTTGTCTTCTGACCTACACATGGACACAAAATACATTTTTTTTTAATCCTTAAAAAGTTCAGGGCAGCCAAAAATAAATAAGTAAATAAATTGGACGACTGCGCTGCAAAGGCGTTTCTGTGCTTTCCTGCTATAGGAGGCTGATAACGGAGGCTCAGAGACACTGCGGTGCAGGGACTAAGATGAGGGCTGAGTAAAGGTTTTATCCTGGTGGCTGTTGGGTTCTAGGATAATGATTTACCAGGACAATGACTTGTACATTCCTCCTTTAGTGTCAGACTGCTTCTGCCAAATAAAGTCACGCTGGGGACACATTGCAGCTCGCTGGCGTCCTAAGCATTCGCTAGACTTAAACCAATGTGATCTATGGTGGTGCGGGCATTACTGAAGTTGTCCTCGGGTTTTCTGCCCTCTGATGGAATTTGGTCCCACTTTTTCAGCTTGTGTTGAGCAATAGGCAACACTCAGAAAAGGTCAGGAGTCCTCTTCTGACCAAGTGCTTTCTTGTTTTTTTTAAATGTTGGAACAAGATGTAAAATTTTAGGTTGATTTGGTATAACCCTGGAATAAAATCAGAAGTGTGGAATTAAATTGCCCAGGAAAGGACAATTACATTCTCCTAAACCCCCAGATGTCACTGGACAGATAGGGGGTTGTACATCACCCGACTGCTGTCTACGAATCAAGAAGATGTGCCTTTAAATGAAGCATGGGCCACCAAGGCGGTGGGCGGACCCTATGAAGGTATAGTATTCTGTGTTAGAGATCATTTTTGCAGTGACGTATGTCATGTCATTCATCCCAGGATTGCTTTATAATACACCGGTGAAGAGCTACTGCTTTAACATCATTTATTTTGAGATGTCCTGTGGAGAAGTGACATGCGTTCTGCTTCCCAGCTCACGTCTTGTTTAAATATTTCAGAAACTAACTTGGGAATTTTGGGTTGAAATCTATAGTGAAATGCTCATCAAGGGGCTGGCGAGATGGCTTGGACGTTAAGACAACCCGGGGTCAATTCTCAGCACCCATGTGGCAGCACACGACTGTTAACTCTATTTCCAGTGGATCTGATGCACAGTGCTTTGTTCTGCCCTCCACGGGTGCCAGGCACACACGTGGTACACACACAAACAGTCATAAAATAGAAAACAGTGTTTATCCAATTGGCATGTTAGCCTTCATGTCAGGCTCCTCCCTAAGTGGTTTTTAGTGAAAGATTCTGATGCACTGAGTCATTTAGTGAACTCAGGATAGATAAAAATTGAAAAATTAGTCATTATAATGTCCATGTATACTTCTTATTAATTTCAAGAATTATTGTTTGCAATGTTGTTATATGCCCTATGATACATCTTTAAAGTATATTTTAAAGTTGAAGTAAAAAATTAAAATTTCTTATTGATACTACTTATTTTTAAGTTTTAGCTAAAGTATCATTTTGTGTGAGGATTTTTACTGATAAGAATTTTGGGGTTTTAATCTGGTTGATTTTTAACTTTTCTTTTTTTAAGGGCTCTTACCTTGAAAACAGCATGATTGGCTTCCATGTCATCTTTGAATATGAGTGACATGCCTAGTTTCAGCATGCCCTCATAGAGACCAGCAGACCAGGGCTATTCTTTCAGGAAGTCTCACGCTGGAAGTAGTGTATTGGATGTCTGCACCTGGACTGGATTGCCCACTGACTCATAAGAATATTGAAAGCTGGTAAACAGCTGAAGACAGGCGGGCTTAAGGAAGCAGCTCCAACCCTCTTAAGGCTCTGAGCAGCTTGAGAGAAGATCATTGTAGAGATGAGTGAGAAGATTGCAGTCATTTCTACATTTGTTTCTAGACATTCGTTATCTTCGTTAACCCATCCACTTGGTGCATGACATTTGAGTTATTTTCCATGATTGTAATAGCTCGTAATCTACTTCTCATCAGTTTTATCTCTGGGTACAGAAATCACATAAATAAGAGGTGAAACAGGAGCCGTTTATTGGGATATCGATGCCCTCACCCCCACAGAAATGGACGTTCATTGACTATAGAGTGAGAGAGTTGTCTCCTTATAATGACGCACTCTTTCAGTCAAGTTCTGATTTATCTACTCAAGGTGTTCTTTTGGACAAGTTTTTAGCACTGAAAATCTAATAATCATATTTGGGTGTTAAAATAATAATCAAGCCATTTGTGGTGGTGCACACCTTTAATCCTAGTACTCGGGAGGCAGAGGCAATTGAATCTCTGAGTTCAAGGCCAGCCTGGTCTACAGAGCACTTGGGAGGCAGAGACGTTGGAACTTCATGAGTTCGAGGCCAGCCTGGTCTACAGAGCAAGTTCTAGGCTGTACAGAAAAACCTTGTCTACAAGAACAAAAAGAACAAAATAAATAATCAAAAAGACCCCAAACAAAAGTAAGTCCTTAAGGTCTTATGCCTGTACACATTTAGACAGAGGCCAGTGTTTTAGAGTTCTAATTTTAGAATTAAGTTTCTGGTTAGACGTAAGAGACATGATGTTGTAAATTATATTTTCAACTCTTCCTGTCATGGTCTTACCCTGACATTTATGTAATTTAAGAAACATTTTTGTTATTACAACTTATGTTTTACTCAACAAGGACAAATACAAGAAAAAGAGCATGTGTTTTAATTTAGTGAAGCAAAATTCCATAAAGCATTTGGTTAATTTTAATAGTTTTTCTAGTAGGAAGCCTGCTCTGTTTTCCTTTCTTCTCCTTCTGCCTAATCTACTCTAACCACTTGTTCTCTGTTGTACTTTTTTTTAACCATCTGTCAGAATTTCTGTGTGTGTGTTTTGCCTCTCCCATGGGTCAACCTTCTATTTTAAATCCTTCTGTTTTTTAAAGAATCTTTAAATTTTTATATTTATATTTAATTCTGTGTGTCCATGTGTCTGTGTGTACCTTCCTGTGAGTACAGTTCCTTTGGTGGCCAGAAGAGGGCATTAGATCCTCTGGAGCTGGAGTCACAGGTAATTGTGGGAGGCTAGGAACCAAACAGGTTCTTGGCCAGAGCAGTATATACATGTAAGTGTTGTACTGTCTCATTACATGGCTGTGCTTTCCTCTTAATCTGCTACCTCCAGCCATTTTCATCTTGTCAGTGAGCTATTGTCCAGTCTCTGGTATTTTGGGATTTGGTCTGTATTTTAGTTATAATCAACTAATGCTGTTTCCTTGACAGTGTTCAGTCATGGTGCATTTGCTCCGCTGGTTCTTGTTTGCTTTGTTCTTAGGAGACAGGCGTTACTAGATGGATTTGTTATCAGTCCGTGCACAGAACATTGCTCCTGTTTATGTATTTTCTGAGTATCTAAGATAAATCAGTTATTAGTAACTTTTCCTTGGAACATTGGGTTCTTATGTTTTCTGATTCTAGGAATTAAGATTAATACTTTAGACAGTGGATGCTGCTTCAGAATTAGTCAGGATAGTCCAGAGCACTGCTGTCCTTTTACTGTTCAAGAGTTATTGACAGTTATTGCTCCTTCTCCTTAAAGATTTTGTCATAAGCACACCATGACAGAGTCATAGACAAACATACTTTTGTCTTTCCACAATGGCAGAAGTTATTGAATAAATAAATTTTCAAGGAACTGCCCTTTCAGTGGGGGCAATTTTCCAGATAATCCCACTTTCCTTGGTTATCTGGCTAAGATGAACATGGGTTTTTCTTCTTTCTTTTTTTTTGAAGATTGATAAATTTGTGTGTAAATAAAAATGAATTTATATGCACCGTGTATGCAGGTGCCTTTAGAAGGAGAGGAGAGCGTCTAATCCTTACATTCCTAGAGATACAGTGACTAGTCAAAATGCCTAGAATTCTTAGTACTGGCAGCTGTAAGCCTCCCAGTGTGAGTGCTGGGAACCAAACCCAGGCCCTCTGCAAGAGCAATAAATGTTTCTAACTTCTGAGCCATCTTTCCTGTCTCCCGATATGGGGTCTTTAACTCTCATTCTTACAGATCACCATTAGAACAAAACATGCAGGCTCAAAAAGGAGCTTACATGAAATCCTTCAGGATGAGCTTCACGAGGATTCGGGAGAGGGAGAGAGGGATCTGAGGGGTGCGAGTGTTGAGGTCTGGGAAGGAGTCATAGAAGGAGAGACGGCTGCCATACATAGTTTAAAGGAAAGCCTTCAAAACTAAGTTTGACTTACAGCTTCTTTTGGTTTGTGTGGTGGAGTGGGGATGGGGGAGTGTTCCCCATTACCTGACGGTATAGCTTATCCTCTTGGCAGGGAACCAAACACTAAACCATTAATAGTAGCAAGGGGGCAGGGCTCTAGCCATATCAAGGCCATCTCAGCTCTTAGCAGACACAGGGCAAGAGGTATGGCCTGATAGTCTGCAAGACAGGGGCAGGGTCTGTGATGTAACACGTCACACAGTAAATACATCTGCGTGTGTACAGGTTACAAGTGGATATTAAAGGCTGCTGCAGAGTTCCTAGTGGTTTCAGAAGTAAGCCGAATCTGCACTGATGAGGGCCCAAACCAGACAGAGGAGTGGTTGGATGGATTGGTGGGGATCTCCAGTGGAGTTGGCTGTTTGAACAGGAGAGACTGAGCTAAGTGGAAGGCCTAGAGACAGTCCTGTTGGTTTTGATGCATGCACCAGGTGTCAAGTGATGGACCGAGGTCTTGGGCCATCGTAGTTGTGTATTCTGATCGCCTACGTAGTCCAGATAAAAGAGCAAGACCATTTCCTCAGTCTGGTATATCCAGTAGGTTCTTGGATCTGGTCTCCCTGGTGGGATTTTTACACACCCAGTTGTCTACATAGTCTTAACTCACTCAAATTTATTGGGGAGAGCACCCTTTCTGTTTTCAGGAATAAGTCATTTTATAAGTCTGGGCAGCTTGAGTGGTACTTGTTTCCATTGTGATGTTTGTGAAGCCAACCAGGTATTACCAGGGAAACTGGATTTTCCTTTTGGGGCTCTTAGTCTCATTCATAATGATAATATTAGAAATGGAAAGTATTTTGAGGACAGTTTTATTAAAGTTTGAAAAGCATGGTATAGGATAGGTAAGAAAAAGCCATTCCTTTTAAGTAAATTGTAGAATAGAAATTGAGGCAACTCATTAAGAAAGGAGAAAACATTCCCAAGAATGGAAGAAGGATCTATATGATCATTAATTTATTATTTACATTTTTAGATTGATTTTATGTGCATAAATGTTTTTCCTTTGTGTGCATATGCAAGGAGTGTGCATCCCTGGTGCTATGAAGGTCAGAAGAGAGTATTGTGTCCCCTAGAACTGGAGTTCTAAATGGTTCTAAATGTGTGAGAGAGAGGCTGCCCCCCCCCCACCGGCCCCACCCAGCTCTCGTCTTTGCTCTGGTCAGTATTTCATGGGTGGTGCTTTGTTCATTCTGCTCATCGGATGTTCCCAGGAGGGAAGGCTCCCAGGCCCATCTCTGCAGGCTGGCTTCTTTCATGTTGCTCTTGATGTCTTTTTCCAGTCGCTACTCTCCTGTCAATAAAGAATATTCTCTCATGACAAAAGCCAGTTTAAAAATTCACTGTTTCGTACTCTGTGGAGTAAATTAGAGCGAGGCATAACATGACTTCAACAGTTTTACAGCAAAAACATGATTGAAGTCAACATGGGAGGACAGGAAGAGAAAGTAAATACTATTGGAAAAGGACTTGTGTTAATACTCAGTTTCTAGAAATGGAGCGAACACAGCGGCTTTGACATTTATTAGATAAAAGGTCCTCTACACAAAAGTAGCCATAACTCTAGTAACTAGTTTTACTGGTGTGTTGTGATTTTTGCATTTCCTTTTAAGTCCTGAAGTTGTTTTAAAACACTGACAGTCAGCTTTTGTTTTGAAAGACTTCATGTCTCCTTAAAATTAACCTATGTTATCTTGTAATTACATTATAACATTCTGCAAATGCTTTGGACAACTGACTCATTGTTCCTTACACAAGAAAACTTATAAATTGTGTTGCCCGTTCCTCCAGACTCCAGTTGTATTGTAACAAAAGCAGGATTTATAACAAGGCTTTATCTTGAATACCAGGCATGGTAGCATATCTGTTTACTCTCAGCTCCCAGGAGGCAGAGGCAGGCAGATGTCTGTGTTTTCCAGGCTGGCCTGGTCTACATAGTGAGTTTTAAGCCAGCCAGGAACATGATGAGACCCTGCCTCAAAATAAAATTAAATAAAAATTTAAAAAAGAAAAAAAACCCTTTTCTTACGTTATTTGTAGGTTTATCTTATCTCTTCTGTTTTTCTTTTTCTCTTGTATATATGTTTTGGTGTTATTAATTATAGAAGATAATGGTTTTCATTGTGATGTTTATATACATGTATAGAATGTCCAGGAAAAGCCATGTATCTCGTATGGTGATGTTGAGATAAGAAGAACCCTACACAGTTGGATTCACTGAATATCTCTGCCTGAGCCTTGCTGGTCATACTGGTGGTTGCTGGGGTCTTAGAGCTGAAGGAGCTTTAGTAGCCACAGTTAAAGGTGGCCTCAAAGCTGTAATTGGAGAGGTCAAAAGGAATTGACATAGATGTGCTCCATCATAGCTGAGCAGGTGTATTAGAAAGTAAGGGTCCAGAGCACTGTGACAAGTGCTGGAATACCAGCATGAGGCAGAGTGCTCATGGGCTGATGTAGCCTCAGAGTCACTCCCACAACACCGCTACTCCAACAAGGCCACACCTCCTAATCCTTCCATTCAAATATGTAAGACTCTGGGGGCCATTTTCATTCAAACCACCAGATGGCTCATAAAGAGATTAAATCTTATAAGGTTAGATCTATACGATACATATATGTTCAATGTGTGTGGTAATTTGTCCCCTATCTATTCTATCTTGAACTGGGCAAGTTATAAGTCATTTGACCTTGGTTTCTTTATCTGTAAAATGGTAATAATATCTAGTGGTGTTTATATAGATTAAAACTTATTATATGGATACCTGTATGCCTT